GCAATTAGGCCCAAAAAATATCAACAAGGGAAGGAGTAATATCAGAGATCAAAAGTAGACTTATGTGCAAAAGGTATGAGAAAAGTTACTTCAATTGTGATTGTTATTCTGAAATTACGAACTGAAATGACTTTTTATACTACCAATACAATAAATAATAAAACACCGTTCATTGCTGTTGCTCTGATATATTTTCTTCACCAAGTGAAAAATTAGCGCTGCAAAATTAATAGTATAAAGATTACCATAACATAGTAATTAATAATTTATGAAGCGATAATTACCAATTAAGACTATTATAGTGGCAGCACAATTTCTTATATATATAATTGGATTATTAGTATTCTCATCGCAAAAATAATTCTCAATTTTCTTGCTTCTCTTTGTTTATTTTCTGTTTTTCATTTTTTTCTCTCGTTCTTTTTATTGTTTATTTACTTTAATAAACCTGCTATAATTTATTTTCTTCCCTTTCTCAAGAAATAAAGATTTTCTTCTGTTGAACAGGAACAACTTTGGCAAATACGTTTAGTGCAACAAGCAACTCTCATCGGTATTTTCTTTTTGTTCTCATCTTTGTTCATTTATTAAGTTTTAGTGGTGATGAAAGGATTAAGGATCAGTGGGAGAGTATTAGCGAGGTCGGGAGAAAAATTGAAAGAGGAGTTAGTTAGGGAATAAGCTGTGGTGAGAAGGGAAATGAAGTGAACTGTGATGAAACTAACTGGTAGTGAGTTTTATTCATCGTCATAAGCATATAGCATCGCCCTCAGATAAGGACATTTTTTTTCTTTGTACCAATCCATCCTTTTTCAGTTGTTGTCATCTGTTAACCCATCCGAACATTACATTTATTAGTTAGTCTTTGGTTTTTATTGGCTTATCATTTAATACTCGCATGATTGATTTGAAAAGGAGCAAGGAATTATTCATTGCGAAAAATAGTTGTTTATTATCTTTTACATCTGGGATGATTTATTAGTAGAATACATTTTTCATATTACCCTTCATTATTCAATCACTGTAATTGATAACGAATTTTTTCGATGGATATTAAGAAATAATTAAGGATGAATTAAAAGCTTAGTTTTTAATTCATCTCTTAATTTTTTTCCAATGTTTTACGTGTATCATAAAATATCCTAATTAACTTTAAAAAGTAAACTTTGTTTTTTTTAGCATGGCTGAGAAAAATGAAAGTCATTTGAACTTCAAAAGGACAATTCTTATTACGGGTTCAACGGATGGCATTGGTCGACAAACTGCTCTAGAATTGGCTGTGCGAAATGTAAGTCCTATACACTCCTTTTTCTCCTGAAATATTCAGTCAAACTGCAGATTCGTAAAGTAAAAAATTGCTTGCACGGAAAGTGCTATATATATATATGGAAGTAAATTGTTTTCTATTGAATAGATTTCTTTTTTGGATTCTTAGAAAAAGGCAGTCGCAACGAATCCAACTATTTGTTGTATCTAAGCTCTGATTTCTCTAAAATGGGAGAGAAAAGGATTGAATTCATATGATCTATATACAGATTTTTAAGGTTGCATGACCTTTCACACTCTGGCTCTATAACCACTATCTCTTACCGCTCCATAATCCAATCATTGACTATATAGCTTCCTTCAATTGCAATATTTGTGAAATAAGGACATACATGACTTTTTAGAAAGAAAATTTTGTTATTGTGCACGGCAGAAATATTGAAAAATGTAAAGCAACTATTGACTACATCATGCGTGAAGGCAAATTATCGGATAAATCGAATCTTGATTTTGTTGTTGCCGACTTCTCTGATTTGAAAGAGGTGAACATTAATATTTTTCTTTCAAACTTACTCAGCCTTTATCTACTTTGGAGATTTAATTCTTTAATTTTCTTCGTTTTTCCCTTTAAAATCATTTCATTGATAATCACTGCAAGCCAGTACTCTGTGATCTCGCCTTCGCTACTTATTGCAGGTTTCTGATTTGGCTACGGACGTTGAAAAGCGCTTCCCACGTTTGAATGTTCTGTTGTGTAATGCCGGTGTTCTTTTACCTAAAAGAGCAGAAAGTCGAAATGGATTAGAGTTGACTTTTCAGGTGAGCATTTTACTAATGTACTTC